ATTATTCTCTATAGTTCCCCCTTAGTTTTTCCTGGGCTAATGAAGAAAGAGCGTATCTTATTACGCAGGATGTCAAAGGTTGTCAGCAGGGTAGGCAATGTGCCACTTGACCAGCTTGTTAATATTCTTGTTGACAGGCACATGGACTCATGAAAAATGGGCTAAATCCATTTGATCTAACTCACAACACCCTCTTAACTCATAACTCTCCCCTTGTATCTCATCAGGCAAAACCAGAAGCCTATATGGAAAACTATATCCTCGCACTAGCAAGTACAATAATTCAACCATACCCTAATTAGGTAATGTTCTGTGCGATAAAGAATGCATTTGGCGACATAACTATAATTGATGATATAGTCAGTAGAACAATTTGATTTCGTCTTTTTAACTCATGTCATTTGTAGTTACAACGGTTTCGGAATAATTGATATGGTGTAGTTATTGTGAATTAAACTTATATGATTGTTAATTGATTAGTTTTTTGTCATTTCAAAACTCACAGACTAATACTCTCAGTGCGTTGACTAAAAAACTTTCGTTTTTTAATCTGTAGAAATTTCATTGACCATATTTAAAACTGAGTAGTTTGAATTCTCAACAGCTCAACAACCAATATTTCATTCTCTATCCATCTCTTTTTGTACAGTGAGATGGTGAATATTTGCATTTATTTACTATGGAGCACCACAACGTTTTCCTCTAGAAAACTGTTCTAATGCAAAGAATCCTAGAGGAGCATCTTTATGGATATCACAAGTTTTTTTAAATTCATTATTTATATACATATATTTTTAACCAGAATCATCTCCTTGGTACTAATTTCCACATAAAAACCGGTCATCAGGCTTTGTAATTCATTACCAAGCCAGAAAAATGTTTGAATATGTCGTCTGCTGCTGTGGTTTGAAGATGACACTATTGATCATGGACCGTAGGAGGATGAACCTCATGCAGACGTCGAATCTCGTTATTCATACTCGGATATATTATATGAGCTCCATGAACGCAACAACAGATGGTGGACTATTCAGTTTAAGCAAAGATTGTCAGGCTTCTGTAATCGGAGAGATAAGATTTCAGTCCATCCTAAAGGATTCCTATGTCTGAATGACAGAATTATTATTCCTACGACATTGAGATCTGCGCCTTCGAATGATCTTCATTCTGCTCATTTGCGTTAGCGATGGTACGATGAAATCCTTAGCACATGAGACAACGTGCTCTCTAATTTAGTTAGTTATTGTGAAATCTTATTCTTAATGTCCAGAAGTGATGATAACGGATTTTCCGAACGCGGCATTCACACACCTTGCTTTGGGGAAGAATTTTGACCAAGTGGAAATTGCAATGTCTTAGTTAATCATTATTGTGCTCATTTTATTGGAAAGACTGGTGAAGATAACTGGTTTGAAGATACAGGTTGGCGTAATCTAAGCACAGCATCCCAGCATCCTCAATCTGACGGGTTGCTGGAAGATTCAGTACGAACATTAAAGAGTGACATAGCCTCAATGAGTATAAAGAGTTGTGCAAATGAATTCTTATTTCAATATCGCGACGCGGGGCATACAAATACCCACGACTGTCTTGCTAAGCTATTCATATCTCGCATTTTCTGAAAGCAGTTAATGTCCATGATGTATTCTGTACATAATTTCAGATGGAATGACTGCAGACTCTCTGACGGAACCATAATCCACAAATCGAAAAATGAATGGTGTAGATATTAGACACTGAAGATCATTCATTTAACAACAGGTATGTGGGTCAGTTGCAACAATATTAAGTGGGTCGTTAAGATCGTGGAGCTTTGTACGCAAATCTACACCTCATTATAATCATGCAGGGACATATTCAACTAGTGGGGGATGTGGTGGATGACAGTTTATATCACTGTACTGTTCAAATGCTTACTGTTATTTGTTAACATTTTTTACTTAGATCGCTGAATACTAGGCACGAAATTCTGCCCTCACTTAGTTGTTGCTTGGTCCCCTGGGAATCAATCAACGCGAAATACATCAACATACATGAATTACAAAACAGGGTGAAGTGAAGCATGTGTGCAGATAGACGCCTATTTGAATGGTTTAAAAAATCCCAAATACCTCTTATTGACGGAAAGATAGCGCGAAACGAGCTTGTCAAACGTGAGATATTTTACCAGAGAATGAATATCTAATGTCATGATTTTTACGTTTCCCTCCATATTCAATATCCATGTGCTCATATAGGGAGACCGAGTGTGGCACGAAGGCTTCAACTATCGATAAGTGGAGGAGGCTTATCTAGATTCATTCTCAATAATTGGATTTCACTGCTACAAAATGATTTTGTTCAACTTGTCACTGCATACTCTGAGTAGGTGGAAACATACAGGCATGCTTGTACTCTTATTCCACATTATGAAACACACGTTGCTAGCGTAAATAAAACGACATGTGCAATGCATAGATATACTTGTCTGAGAGTCGTTTTTTGGACTGTATGGGAACCAGTGGTAACTCTCTATAGTAAATCAATTAGAATATTCACCATCTCATCGTAGGACAAGGAATGGCTTGCGGATGAACTATTAGTTGTTGAGACTTTAGGAATTCCAACTACTCAGTTCTGAATATATTCAGTTAATGTCATTGGGAGTGTTGTACTGCACGTTTTCAAGTGACAATCAACTGATCATTTCACAGTCAGTCAAGTGTTAGTTACAGTTAAATCACTTGGTTTATTTCTGAATCTTTGTATACAATAGCTACCTCAAATATGTAATACTGTACTCAGGAGTGCTGATGTCAATCATCACTTCTGAAGGAGATGGCTTTTATTTTTGAATTATTTAAAGTGTGATGATGACAACAGTAATAAAGTAGTAGCTAGCAGAAGACAAAATATGCCTGATATTGATTGTCAGTGGTGTCGTGTGATGCCACATTGTTGCATATTCCATTACTGCTATATTAATATGGATGTAAGCATGTTGGTATACATATTCTCTGTTATTGCTATAGTTGGTGGAGATAATATACAGTGGCGTGTTATACCGAGAAATTACAAAGATGGCCATTCATGGTCTCTAGTAACATATGCATTATGTGACCTTAAAGTACACGACTGCATTCCTAATGGGTCGGTGAATGCACATTAGTGATGAGTCCCACATATGTAGTGTATATTCACACATGTCCAATTCATCAATGACTGAAAGAAGCATTCAGTCAAGATGAGATTATTTGCAAAGTCTACCCACTTCATACATATTCACAGTCTTAAAGTACAAAGATGAATGAAGTCTGTTCACGTGTAGTGAATAGAATGTAAGTAATGCATCAATGAATTTCTACTGTCTTTTTCTTCTCCGGTTTAATTTTTCATCAGTTTAACAGTAAAATGCAGAAGAGCACGGATTCCTGAATATGATGAATGCGAGCATGTCTCCAGTGGATAGGTTATGCTGATTTATTCATTGAATTCGTATCAACGTCACGAGTGATATATCGTTATGGCTATGTATTGAATATCACAGTGGAATTTCAATAAAAATATCACTGATATGACAACGTTTCCTTTCTTTCTTTTTTCTTTTTTTTCGGTGTGTTTTGTTTTGTTTCTCTCCTTCTTCTTTGCTCTACCTTAATCATTCTTCTTCGTTGTTTAACAATTTTTGTATCTCGACGATTTTTTTCCGTTCAAGCCGGTTAGTATGTCAATGTCTACTTTTTTTAGTCCTTCACACATTCTGTTTTCTTTTCGCACTTCTAGCGACATTCTACTACTTTGTATTCAAAAATAAATGAGACTACCTATAATCTATATGTAACTCTATTTATTGTTAATGTAAAAACTGGATTCAATACTGTAGGGAAATGCTGAGTATTCCATTCTGCATCACAAATACTCTTTTGTAATAAAGCATATTACTATTATTATTATTATTATTATTATGTCAAACCTGTGCGGAACTCCACTGAATACATAGTGAAGAACAAGTTCAGTGTGTTTAACATCAATGTCAACTCAGTGCTCCTGCATGTTTCACAGACTTGTTGCGTATGTCATGAAAAGCACTATGGAAATGCTGTACTGTTATTTCGTCCTATTTGTCAAGTTTTCAACTATGAATACTTTCAATTGATTCTACAACTGACATTGGTTTGTGAACAGACCTACATTGTGTTCAGTCAGAATCTGTCTCTCGAAACTATCAAGACTGAAGATATTTCGACGTGACCACCAGATAAATTTTAAATGTATAGTAATCCAAATAAACTCCAATATTTGCTAACGATGATTTATTCACGCAGTGTAAAATTCACCCGATGTGTATATAAAATCAAAGGAAATGGCAAACTGCTCACCACATGTTCAAATCGTTTTTTTGAAAGTCACGCAGATTCACAAATTATAATTTTACACATACAGGTTTCACTGTCAGGATGTCGTTAGAAGACAGAACATTTTCAACTGGCTGCCACACACATTCATCAACATTTGTCCACGGTGACGGTGAAGTCACTAACCGGGAATTATTCTCCTACAAGTAAAGCCACTCTACGCAGCTAATCAACCAACAACACACTGGCTAATAAAGCATGCAGAAGGCAATGCAGACAGATTATTTTTTTTTTTTTGATTTACAGCTTGATTCCACACTGTATTTTTGGTACAAGTATGGAATTTTCAGCATGGATATCGGTAGCCCAAATTTTGCAGGCCGACCATAGATATCAGGTGTGCGCCGGCGTGGGCTCGAACCCCGGACCATGTGCATGTGAGTAGAGATTCATGCAACATCACGCACCATTTTGCCGTCGGCTGGAACCCGCATAGCGATAAACCCATTGCGTTTGAGAGTGATATGTGGGAAATCGCATGACTTAGAAATGAATGCATGTAAGCGAGCAGTAGTGTAGGTAGTTGACAAAGATTGGTGGGAGATGTGCTACTGAAGTCTTACCTGCCACTGAGAACTCGAAAAATTGATAGCAAAAGTAGTAGTAGCAGTTTACAGTGTTTTGCTTTTATTATTTTGAATATTTCAAACTTTAATTGTTACTAAGTGAATTAAAACAGAATCATTTCAGAAGAATGGAATAGTTCGAGTAAAATGATTATCAACATTATTAAGTATAGAAATGGTCAATGAATGTGAATATTTGCAAGGTAAGAACTTGTCGCTCAACTCTGTTTCTCCTGAAAAGTCATTTGATGATACGAAGAAATAATAATTTCCGTGGTATGTAGTTATTCTGTAAATGGACGAACACACATATTCATTTTAGAAAGAATGATGCATCAAATACAAATAGCAATAGCAATGTAAATTTCAAAAATGACATTTGAAATCCTTTATTTTTAAATTCTTTCTCAACGAGGCTATCCGGTGATAAGATGAAATCTTTTCTTTCTATAGAGATAACGGATGGAGTATATACTTTTCGTTTAATAAATATTACATAAATATGCAATCAACTTCACTCGAACTTCGTGAGTGAAGTTCAGGAGATGCACAAATTTACGGAATACATCGTTTTATATTTTATCCAACAGTTTGTGGTTACATGAACACAAGCTGGCCATTAAAATACGTGACATCCACTCTGTCATATCACACGTTGCATACAGACAATCACTACATCAATTCGACTGGGACATAGTTCAAATAATAGGCAGAGGAAACACCAAGAAAGTTAGAGAATTTTCGGTAACCTGGTATTCCAGTGAATCATAAATTAATAGACACAATGAGATCGAAAAAATTTACCAACCGATAAGGAGAAAACGCCACACACAAAAAGTAAAACTTCCGGTCAAGGAAACGGTCAATACCAATAAAAGTAGACTAGAGGGTGTGAAAACAAAAAAGCAAACAATCACGTCCGAGGTCACCAGGAGAGATGATTAATAAGCTTGTGGATAAATATAAAAGCTCACTTCCATTTGAAGATGTTGCTGAAGATGTTGCCTAGTAGGGCAATGAAAGCTTCACAAATTGACTATCCAACTAGTTCAGAGAACACAACCACATCAAAATAACTTGTACTTGTGACACAATACAGCTACTGACATAATTCCAATTCACGCTGACTGAATAGTATATTTTAGAATCAATGAATTTCCGACTGTAGAGACTGAAGAAGGATTTACTAAAAGTACCACTGGTTGCTCTAATTATTTTCGCTACAAGTAAGAAACAGGATGAGGTGACATTTCCAAAGCAATCAACTTAATTTAATTCGCCTATATACCACTCACCTGCTGGTATCAATTTCTCCAGTTCACCTAATCTGTACGTGTATAATTTCCGTTGAACTGAAAGCAAGTAGAGGTAGAATAATTACTGACCATGACACATGACGGCAGGAGTTCTACCACTGTACAGTAAAAATCACACAGTAGATAAAATTTTTTAAAAGATTACTAGCCCCATGAAATCGCCCTTACGCCTAATTTCTTCAACATTCAGTAATTTATTATTCCTACGCACACTTTAAGCCAGAAAATCTCGTGTCCTCCATGTTACACTCAAACATCCAACTCGTCATTTTCCATTCAAAAATTCCACTCGGGCAACGGCGTTGCGTGTGGTCTCCTTGTGTCTGCCTCGCACAATTCCTAACTTAAAATTCTTCAAACGATTCTTCCTTTTGGATCACTTGGCTTGAGAAATAGTCACATAGCTGTTGAATGAGGTGAATGAAGGTCAGTGGCACTTGATTGTATATAAGCCGTTTTCACATCACTTCTCAGTCAACGCTATTTAAGGTCTATTCGAAATCAGTGAAGCTGAAATGAGATTTGACTGCCATCCTATGATCTGTTTGATGGTGATTTGATGAGCATCGAATTCATTCGAGTATCATTTGCAATAGTCATTATTTACCACACACCAACTGATTTTGAATATCATAAGCTGTGGATTTCAATACTCGATCTTCCGAGCTAATTATCAATATTTCTATCTCTCATTAGTCAATGGATACACGATCCTGATAAGTTTCAAACTCGAACGAGATACTGTTCTATCTGCTATTCATCCCATGGCAGCCAATGAATAAATTAACTTTCAAATAAATACAGAGCTCTTTTAGTTTAAATAATAATATTTTGGAACAATAGATTGTTTTTATGATTTATTCAGGATTTGTCGTAGGAAACTTTGTGTCTGAATGTTACATCATATCATACTCTGAAATCACTTGGTGTGTGTGTGTGTCACTTACATACGGTCTCGGTTTGTTTTTGGATTTCACTATACATGTCGCTTATCAGATCGGTCATTTCTTCAATTTCTGTCAAAATGTTAGTTGAAAATTTTATTCGAATAAAACTGATTTGTAAGATAAACAAAACTTTCACACTGGCTGCAGACTTTTATCTACAGCTACATTCGCCCAATCCTGAAGGTCGAATGTTCAGCCAGGAAGCATAAGTGGCGACGAACTTTGAGGTAAAGCGAACTGTGAAATTATCATTTACATGTACGCAGTAGGAAACACAGTGAAGTTAGTCAGAAATAAATATAGATGTGCGACGGAAGAAATCTAGAGAGATAACAAATTGAAAAACGCCGAAGGATCCTCATCAGATGTCATTATTCTCCTCAGCCACGTCAAAGTATGGGATTCCACCCAATAAAATCATAAAAATGCCACGAGTAACAAAAAGGTTTGTTTAAATTCAGTCACACCTAACTGTTAAAGCTTCATTCTGTTGTGAAGAAAGTCATCGAATGCTTAGATAACAACGCATTGCCATCGAAGAGTGTCACATAGAAGAATTGTCAATTTTAATATCATCATGAGATTAGGGATTACGTTTCTTACTTAATTTGTGACAGCGCAATTCAATGCAACCAATTTACTATGAACTATCTTCATAAACACTATTATTATTATTATTATTTAATTTATTCCTTAACATTCAGAATGGAGCAAATAGTTGCAAGCTTGATCTTTGAAGTTTCAATTAGTGCTGTTGTTCGTCGGGATTGCTAGCTTCACGCTCAACCCTCTCTCTTTATCAAGTTAACTACCATCTAGCTGAGTCAAAGGAGTGTGTTAGCTGAGAAATGAACTCCAGACCATGTGCGTCTTTAGTGTGCGTTGTACCAATGAACCTCTGGCACATTGTTATAACACTGTTTTTTGTTGGCAATAAAACACAAATTTAAAACTTGGTGTATGTTTCACTTGCTTATCGTCGAGAATCAACTTCGTATTAAGTATTATTATCTAGCACTCCGGTTGAAACATAGGCCGTCAGTGTGCCACTTGTTCATTCCACTCGATTCTCTCCTATGAATGTCAATAGGATGCATGACTGAGCGGAGGCTTGATCTCTCCCTTACATAATTTCCTCCATGTCACACTGGACGATCAACTCGTTGCTTCCCACTCAGGTTGAACTCGAGGTGCTGTTCAGTTTCTGATGTCAACTGAATGTCTTCTCGGTGAATTTGGAATCTGCCTCCATTTCTTTCAGCAATTATACGTTAAGCAGCAAATTGTTAGGTGTTTGGCTGCCATTTGCGGTGCCTTGTTGCTTATATTGACCGTCTTATCTTCATTATCAAGGCAGCCAATTGGCTGTGTGTTGATGGAGTTCTCAAGCGAAGTGTTGTAAGTGCATTGCTTGATGCTTGCGTCAAGCTTCTGCAATGTATGAAAGCACTGACTTTCCTATTAATACCCAGTTGCATCTTCTGATTGCTGAAGGACTTCTCATGGATTTCAAAGCGGTGACAGTCTATCCTGCTTTCTCGAACCTTTAGAATCTTTAGAATCCTCATTCTTGTCGCCTTTGGTTGTAGCGGTGCTGATCAGGTTGCCGAAAAGGGCAAGTTTACATTGATTTCTCCCAGTGATGATGAGGAAAAACGGGTGTTCCACAATACTCCTGTATTATGGATGAGTGTCTGTATTAATATTTATCAAAAAGACATTATCTCATTCTTAGTACAAAGCTATTTGATTCTGGCCTCAATTCACATGACATATATGATGATGAAATCAATTTTCAATGACATACCCTGGTGTAGGACATCCGGATGAACAGGTGAGCAAATATCCACTTCATAACTATCTATCATTCCTATTTACATAAAGCAGGAAATAAATTCATGGTGAAAATCTAACTGAATGTGAATGACATCAATGCAGATGAATTGAAATCCTGGGCTGAAGGAGGATTTAAACAACGTTGCACTGGTGAGTGTTGACGGTGTTAACACTGATAGCTAATTAATACACATCTGAATGTAATTGAAGAAAACATGGTTTGGTCGCTAGCCTTGGCTAGAAATCCTCCTTTTCTCCGGACTTACTACCGGCTAGTGTACCAGACGAAGCTTAGGCGTACGTTGTCCAGGAACTGAAAGTGGGTCTCCGACTAGGCAACTGTGTACTCTATCATCGAACAACTGAGGCAATATAAGTAACTTGGTGTTGTTCCTGACGTTCCAGTTGTCATTAAGCTACTCATTAAATTACTTTGAATTTAAATGAATGAAGATACGCTACAGCCTTATCAGAGTAGCTGTGTGTTTGATGACAACTCATTTTAATGGTAAAACAACCAACCAGAATCACTATGAAACAGTGAGTTGAAAGTCTTTACACAAAAGTCTATACTCACCTTCATATTTCTTTTTCTTATTTTCAAAGCACTCTTTCATTTTCACAGTATCATTGGTAATGAATCCTAGAAAGTGAACATAAAATACTGGATACATATAAAAATCTCAGATATCACAAAGAAGCTATCAAATGCTAAATATGCATGTCAATTACTACAAGTTATGCCTGACTAAATCATTAGGCGATGCAAGTTGTAATCTCAGAAGGGATGGACATTTCTTACGAATAACAGTCATACTATGCTGGGGTAAGCATCGGCAGTCGCGAGATCCAGGATAAAAAGATCTTTGCTCGCAAGCTCCAGCTACCGAGATGTGCATTATTTTAAACGTAAAAAAGAATGAAAACACAGAACTAAACTTTGTAGTTTACCAAAATTCTCTTCTATCTCAATAGCTTCCACAAAATCTGATAAGTTAAAACAAACATTTACGATAAGAAATTCAGCGGCACTGAAAAAGAGAAATGCGATCAGTTTCTATTAAGTGATTAAAGCAAATGAAGATGAAAACACCATCACTTGTGCGTGTGGTAAAAGCGTTTATTTGCAGCAATATCGTGAATACCGATGAAACTGGCTTCCAGCCATATGTAATTCTCTTGACCGTATCTCTTACTCAAGAACACAGAATCACAGTGCATGTATCGGTTCGTCATGGTAATGTCGATTCGCTTACTATCAGTGAAGTTCATAATGATATTGTTCGGCTTACTGAAATAAAGTCATGCATAGTATAGATCTTACTTTTATGTGTTCATTGAAACAGCGTGACGTCACCTCAAAAAATCTCATAAATGGATTCCGATGCCTAGTGAAACTTTAGCTCAGATCTATTAAGAAGTAATTCATTTGCCATGGTTTTCAAACATTTCCTCCTGGGGAACGGCAAAGAACGTTCGACCATTGTCATTTAGATGTCTGTATCATTAGGCTTGTAGTATCCAATACCCATCAAGCTATTTGCTCAATTTAGGATGATTTACCAAGTAATAAGCCCTGAACGAAGGGGGTGATAAGTGGTTGAGTCTCGCTTATTTTGTTTATAGCACAGTTTATAGTTACATTCACTCCAGTTTGTATTTCTAAGCATCAAGCCAATTATTAAGCGGAAATGTGATGACAAGTTTGAAATACACCTGTTTGCACTCGTTTGCTTTCCAGATGGGACATAGGGCATCAGGACGCAAGCTGACATGTTCCAGTAGCTCTAATTTTGCTTGTGCAAGGTGAATTTACTAGCCTAACACCTAAACTTTCTTTTTCACCGGCCTTATTGCCAGATAAGCGAGGTCAAAAAACATGTTGCCCGGAACCTGAACTACGGAGAGATTGCGTAACTCAGACATTCGGAACACGTACACACATCACAGTTGCCTATAATTTGTTTTACAAAATCCTGATCCCTGTAGCTCTCTCCCTATTCATTCGTGTATGACGAAATGGATAATGGAACATATGTATTTTAAAGGCTATGTCAATTTCACCAATGGTGATAAAACAAAATATAAGAAATGTGCATACTCTGCATAAGTCCGACTCCAGTTTCCGCTTCCATCAGTTTTCCTTTACAAGCAGCATCTAAATTTTCAAGTTGGAGTGTGATATATTTTGTAGATTATAACTCACAGTCATTAATAGACAACCCATCAGGTGACAGTTGAATATTGATATTCTCTGTAGACAGTAAAGAGGAAACATAAAATGAGTCATTGTTTCATAAAATAGTTTATGATTTTCGTTTGATAAAATGCGGAATTACTGATACAGAGCTGTTGTCTGATTGATGATGGCTAACCGTCAAATCCAGAATACTCATTTCGTTATGTTTGGGGCTTGTCAGATGCATGTGCTTTCATTACCCAGTGATTGATGATATTCTCATTGCTTCTTCAACCTAGCCAAGGCGTAATCCACTAGGACAGTGTTGTGATACATGTGATTTCCAGTAGACGAAACCCCGCTGACCGCAAATATTATGGTTGTTGATGCTAATCTTCATGATGCGTCTGCAGCTTCCCTCAAAGATTGAAAGCTAAGCCAGGTAACATGCCTTGATTCGGTAAAATTGCGTAATCTGGATTTCTTTGCTGACCATCATCACCATGTTAACCTTCAGATTTTGTCGGAAGATCTCTACTAGATGCTGATGCGTCAACGGATACCGAGCATTTATGTTTTGTATGAGTCAGTCATTGGAGAAATACAGCAGCACAGGTAAGCAGAAATGTTGTTTCTTCTTCCAGGGCAGCTATACTACAGGACGACTGATTACTTCTACGTTTCATTTATCCCACACAAACCCAACTGTATCTATGGCCTACAGGCAAAGAGATCTCGTCGATCTCTTGGCCACTGTTACAAAATGCTGTCAATCCTGAATCCTACCGATTTCTGGTGTCATTAGCAGTCCTTCAACAGCGAATAATTTGTTTCGTTTAAGATTGGGAAGATTCAGGTACTGCGATCGAGTATAATGACCGGATGACATTCCAAACACATTTCATTCCACTTAACCCTATCTACTTATGCTTACAGCTTCATACTTTGCTCAATATAGATTTTTCCTCTTCCCCGTTTGTTACTTACTGTAATTTTCGAACGTGTTTTGTGCTAACGACTGCTCACTTGAAAATCAGACAAACCCAATCTGCAGTAATTCATTTGTGACCATTAGAATGAATTTCAAATGTTGGTTGACTGAGACTTTCATTCATTTCAAGTTAAATCAGCATTTTGATTTCAATACTATAAATAGGTGATTTGTCTGAGGAATAATATTTATACAGCAATATGAATATTAAGTAAACTTTGATTAATGCAAGTTTCTAGTGTCAAATTATGTGTGAAAATTTGGGCGAATGAATAACCATTATAAATTACCTATTCGTTCTTGTAATGCTTTCGTTATATTTTTCAAAGTCACATTGTTCTTCTGCAAATCTACTACAATATTAGAATAATACGGGGTTTAGATTAAGTGGAATTTACAATTTTAAATAATATTTGATTGATTCTACCACTATTTGTAGCATTCTTTATAGGTGACAACTTGAATTTAGGTAATATCCTACAGCCTGTAGTCCAATGGTTCAGTGATCGAATACTCGTCAACCACGCATGTGGTTTAAATTCGATTCCCAGCTGACGCACTCCCTTAACCGTCCTACATATATTTACAACTTTTGATTTTTTACTCCTAAAGTCACTTTTGAGTGATTTTTTGCCATTATGTTTACTTGAGTGTCAATTCTATGAACAAAGAATCCTTAAACAATATATTCATCTTATAAATAAATGTTCGTCTGAGAGATTATTTCAGGTTTACCTGCATTCCATTTTAGTTTACTTTGTATTAAAGCTCTCCTCATCCTAAGAGTCAGTAAGTCTATAGAAAAATGCGAAATTAGTAGTATATAATTTCCATAATAATAAAGTATAAGCGATGCAGAATACTTACAGCATTGATACATTTCATGATGACATCAGCATGCAGATTAGGTTTTAAAATAATGCTCAGATATATGAGACGCTGACTGACGTTCATACTCAAATAATGAACTTTTGCAAAGCATACTTCGAAGGTGACCTGAGTATTTCTAACACTGGTGTTTTTACATGACCATCAAAGATTGATCCGATTTTGTCTTTGACTTTTTGAGCAAAATATTGATCATGTGGGTGATCAAACATCGTGCGTGATCTCTCCAGTCGAACGATCTCACAGTGAATTTGTGAATAAGCGGCTTAAGCTCCAGGCTTTAACTCAATGAATCTAGGGTCAGAATTCGAATTTATCTACTTCGGTTTCGTCATCGGTCCTAACATAATAAATGTGTATCATGAACTGTCAGAGGAAAATCGTGCTCCGCGTAATTGAATTCTGATAACAGTTACAACCTCCTCAAAACTAAAATAAAAAATCCTCTGAGTTATAAATCCAGGTATGGACTACGGCATTAGTCACTGATGCCTAAAATCAAATGAACAAAGCCTTCTTTAAAACGTTCTGTAGTGTGTAACCAAGTTTTAGTCTTTGGTAATACACAGTAAAGTATCTGGATTGTAGATGGTGGATGATGATTATTCCAAAATCGTTAGCTGGATGTGAATGCGATATGCAGTAGGTGGTGGTATTACCACTGAACGTCAAACCAAGACAAACAGTTAAAACATACTGACAAACGTCTGTCTTCAACAAACAGTGGACCAGACACATCACAAAATTTACTAACTAGTGTTCAATCAAAGTACTGAATACGGTCTCACAGGAGATCGATCGCGAGCCCAAAGTGCTCAGTGGTAACGTCTTTCACTCCAGTACTCACTTGGCGAAGAATGTTTGAATTTCAGAAGGGACATAACTAGCACAAAACATAGATCATTTGGAGCTCCCTTGCTTCCTCTAACCATCTAAGATGAGCGAATCAATGAGCACCATGATGGCGACTTACCTAGTGGCATTCCCGAAGCAGAGGAATTAACGCATCACAAACGTTACTTCAACTTATCAGTGTTAATGCCGAAGCCTTATTCACTACTTCCCTGGAACTAAGAAATTGCCTTTCGTACGATTGATATATGTTATTATGTTCTTCTCACCCTTCGGAATTTGAAACGAAGAGTGCTCGTTACGACGCGAACACCACGACTCACTGAGTATTTTGCACGAGTCCTAAAGAAGCTGAAATGCAACTCCTTCATCCAGCTGTCATCATTGCATTACGGCGTTTTAATCGTGAAACACCATCGAACCATCCATATTGCGGAGTGACATGTCAAGAGATAAAGAACGACTCAGTTCAGTCTATCAGCCAGAAAAATAAAAACTGGCTGACTGACTGAGCTTCATTAGTTAACTTCTGCACGGCTTGTTTTGAATGAAATATCTGCCTGATATGTAGTAAATAAAACTTAACAACTTATAAGATAATTTGATGGACATTTTAATAGCTTAGATTATATGAATTAGATGATAGCGTACATTCAATGCATAAATGATTACGGAACGTAAAATGAAACTCACCGTTTTGTGTGGATTGTTGAATATAAGAAGAATAAAAATTGTGATGAACAGTAAGAAGTAACGCATGCTGCAGTTTGTTCTGGACAGAGTAAAACTATGTATGCATTTACATATATACATATATATATGCTGATGACTAGAGCAGACAGCAATACACTGAGTAGTAGACACCTCATAGTATCAAATCAGATTTGTAATCACAAAAGCGGTTAGTAATTGTCCAACCAAATTCCACTATTTGGATTATGTGTGCCGACTAGATGAAGTGAAAGTGCCCGTCCTTTTCTGGACAAACTTCCACTAGATAAGACGATAACTCTCTGAAGAATAAGTCAATGACACAGTGACTTGTGCAAAATTCAAGCCGAATATCAAGCTTCACGAGTTTGTTGAGGAGGTTTGTCAGATGTCTATATATAGTTATGCATTTATTTCCTGAAAGGAATAAGTAAAACTGAATGAAAGTGTTTTGCTTTGATTGCGTTCTCTGAGGTGAATTGTCTATTTATGATGCCTTCGATCTCCATTTAGACAACAACTTCGGCGTAAACTTTAATCTTATCAAAAGACTACAGATGAATTCGAATTTAGCTATGAGTCACGCATCAGTGTAAATTTCTGCATCCATAATACAAAGTATAACAAATTAGACATAGAAGCATACCTACGCTGACACAGAAACATACTGTAAACAGTTAAAAATATTGCATGACATCAAGACTCTAAATAGGGAGACGATGATTAAGTTTTTGTACAGAAAATAAATTACTAGCGGTGGCTTATTCTAAAGATATATATACATATATACATTTAGTCCCTGTGATAAATCTGAATACGGCATTAAAAAGACAGATTTCGCGAGATGAAATAATTTTGTAGTTTCTTTACAACCGCATTACAGTTAATCTATTGAAAACATTATTACCCTATTTATTCATATTCATCCAAATATCCGAGTGACTTCCAAACTTGAATCGAATAACAAACTCGGTTTCCTGGACATTAAACTGACCAGATGAGATGATGGAACGATTCAGAGATCTATTTTTCGTGAACAGACATTGAGTGGAGAATATCTTCATTTCACCAGTTTTGTTCTTATCAAGTAAAAATGTTGGATTGTCTATTGGATTGTTGTATTCTCAAAGGCCTAAAAGTATGCACGAGTGACACAGTGACGGATGATTTTCGTCATATCCATTCAGTTTTATTAGCTCGTGGGTATCCGGAATACTTTATCACTTGTCACAGTAAATAACGACCACATCTCGAAAAGACAGCTACTGTACCAAAGAAAGCTGTCTTTCTTAACCTACCATTCAAGGGTGACAAGATTGTGCAGTTGACAGCTCGAAGACTTCGGTCAGTCATCAAACACACATTCTACGCCACATCTCTTTTTCTCACTCACCAAACATTTTCGATCTCTGTAACCATGATTAAAGGACGAAATTCTGTGGACTCTACTTCAAACTGTATCTACAAGTTCAGCTCCAGTTGTGGAGACACCTCTATATAGGTGGAACCACTAGAGTGTTGCAATGTAGTCGTAGAAAAGAATATGTTCCAAAATGGTTACTAAATTATGTAGAAAATCCCAATGCGAGTAATCTGAATAAAAATCCAGCATCATGCATTGCAAAGCACTTATTAGTGGCAGCCAACAAAATCAGTATTCATGACCTCCATATTAGTTTGTTTATTAGATGTGTCACACAGTGAAACACTATTATTCACTGGATCGCGTTTCCAACAAAATTTATCGTTCATAATCATATCAAGTGTAATCACACGACTTTGAAACTTGAGTTTTATGGTTTTCTTTTCTTCTGCTTGTCGTAATAGTAGCAGAATTTTCCATATATCCGGGTGCACAGGTGATGAATCGTTCCCATTACACGAATTCGCAGTTGATTCGATAAATAAAGCTTCTGTTATCAACCTCTCCCTATACCATGTGACAACAGATTTCAAAACTGTCATCCTATCCCATCCTATTGTATGGTTGTGTGTGATTGCATGTAATGCTATGGCTGAACTATTCTCTGGATTTCTTATCTTATTCCGGTTTTTATGTTCAGCTAGTCTGACTGCCCCTTTCTACTAGTTTGACCTATTTATTTGACCTCACAATTATTGCTGGATATTAGATAAACTAAATTGTTTTGTTTAAAAGGTTCCACAGTATTCTTTGAACGACAAAGGTTCATCTAATACCCTAACTGCAATGTTTGTCAGGTCAACTACGTAGGTCATACTAGTAGAACAGGAGCAGTCAGACTAACCGAACATAAAAACATAGCAAAACCTAGATTGGTTGACCCAAATAAGATAAGAAATCCGCAGAATAGATCAGCCATAGCGTTACATGCAAGCACACACAACCGTACAATAGGATGGGATAGGATGACAGTTTTAAAATCTATTGTCACAGGGTATAGGGAGAGGTTGATAACAGAAGCTTTATTTATCGAATCAACTGCAAATAGATATTATAGAAATGATTCAACACCTGTCCCAGATATATGGAAAATTCTGCTACCATTACGACAAGTAGGAGAAGAAAAAGAAAACCATAAAACTTAAGTTTCAAAGTCGTGTGATTACACTTGATATGATTGTGAACAATAAATTTTGTTCGAAATTGTGTTATCCAGTAAATAATACTCTTTCACCGTGTGATATATCTAATAAACAAACTAATTTGTAAATACTTGCTACCACAGTGCCCATGTTTTACAGTATTATTGACTGTTTCATAATTATTTCACATAACCCTAATTTAAGGTTATTGAAGGTGATGGGAGAACTTTGGATCCGTCACATACAGCCTAAGCTGTGTGTAGAAAAAAAAAATTAACCTCAATCCTCGCCTACTACGGACTACATGACCTTTCTAAAGATGATTGCTCATTAGTATGTACTTTTGATTTTTATTCAACTGAGTAATTGGCATGAACGTTATTTTATTATTGTAAACCATGTTATTTGTTAAGCGGTCGTAAAAAAACCACGAAACGATATCATCTCACCAAATTTGTATTCTAAATGCATTATTCAAATAGGATTATAAATATCAAACATACATATTTTATATGGCATTTAGACGCCAGACGAATCCGAAAATAAGAATGCAATGCTTTAATGAATGTCAACAAGGTTTGTTTACTACGAAGCCCAATGAAAGTATATTTCCCAATAAAGGTGTTAGATTTCAATTCAAGATCTAAAGGACTTAAGAAAGAGGTGAATCCATTTGTGAAAAAAGTGGCAACTGACAATCAAAGCCGTAACGGATTGAAGTAAGAATATGATGTGTGTCCTCTAATAATAAGATGACGTATTATAATGCTCAAGTTAGATATTGGTCGCTTGAAATTAACTTTTTCAAGTCATATTGCGGAAAATGTTCAGTGACATTTGTGAACTAATATCAGTAAAAACTTTGAGAATTGTGGATTAGATCAAATAAAGTATAATTATATTTCAATAGTCACAAACAATGATAAGTTTTGTTATTGGTGATATTTCGAGCAAAATACTGCCTGTACTCATACCACTGTTAGAAATTGTTTCATTCAAACATTTATGATTTGTACTCATATATATATAGTTCATTATTATTTTTGTTTGCTCATTCATGTTTTTGCATTCACAATTATATTCCAAGTTGTTGATAGTTGTACTGAGTCACCCTTATTACATGTATCCGGTGTGACTTTAATAAATATAGATTCCGTTATGAGTTTCTCTTTCCATTTGTTCATGTTAGTTTTTTGAATACACACACTGTTCCAATCGATATTGTGGTTTTTGTCCCATGCATGTGCAGCTATCGATGAATTTTTTTCAAGATTTTTGTAAGCTTGTGTCCCTGTAGGTTGACCTTTAGCTAGGCGTTTATGTTCATTCACTCTTATTTTGAGTGACCTGGACGTTTGCCCCACATATTTAGTCGGACAGTCAGCATAAGATATTTTGTAAACCAAATTGTTTCTTTTCATCATTTTTATGGGATCTTTCAGTTGATTTATTTTATTTTTGATTAGATTCGTCGGTTTAAAGGTTGTTCGAATGGCGATATTTTCGAGGTTTCTTTGTATTGCCTCTGATGTACCATTTTTATATGGTATTGCGACTGTTTTTTTCCATTCTTCCTTCTTGTTGTTCTCCGGTTTTACCCTCTTTTTTCTCTTTTTTATATTATCTCTTTATAAATTGTTTTGGGTTTGGTGTTTTCGAGTAACATTTTGAATAGGACTTTTGTTTCTGTACACTGGTCCTCTGCTGTTGTTGCGAGTCTACGTATTCTATCTACGAGACCATGTATTAATCCTCGTTTTACCGTGAGTGGATGAGCTGAGTAATAATCAAGGAATCTTCCAGAGTGTGTGGTTTTTCTATATATCGTCGTTTTTATGCTACCATCTGTCATTCTTTGTAGTTTGCAGTCTAAAATAAGAAGCTCCCCAATTTCATTCTCTAATTCCATAGTAAATTTTATTGAGTCCACGTGGTTGTTTATGTGTGAGAAACGTTTCTCAGTACCGCTTTTTTCACTATTACTAGTGTGTCGTCCAGATATCTCCACCAACATTTTAGTGATGACCTGAAATGTTTAAGGGTATTCTTCTCTCAATATATCATGAATATTATATAGTTAGAGGGAATCAGCAGGAAGCGTTGGACATATTTTTCGTGCTAGTTAAAACTCATCAGCACGAAACCTAGGTCCAAGGTGTGTTTCCGATTGTCTTTAACCATCTAATATTCATGTGTAACGGTGACAGACTTTATGGTTTAGACTATTGCCTAGAATCTGATGTTATGTGTTTTGTATGGCTGTCTGCATCGGTATTACTGAATATATATTCTCCGTTTTCCCACCTTTTCTGTGAAGATAACAATTTCAAAGTGATGTACTGCATTTACTGCTTTAGTTTGTTATGTGTTTGTGTTTCACGGTGATCGACAGTATGCTACGTTTAACTGGTGTTTTATGCTGAAACCTACAAAATATGACATACTGCTGTCCAGTACTACCTGGTTTTCAAATGGTTCCCTGACTACTGTCAGGTAATGACGAAATCCTGTAAACTATGAGACACTTCGTTCAGACTGTTCATCAATCGTGTGTTTCAGTGTGAACAGAATGTGTCATACAGTTTCAAGCTAACGGATAACAGCCTTAATTTACAAAAATTAAAAAATCAGTATTCAAAGTTCTACCTTGAATTGAAGAGCAGTATTTTTTGCTGACAATACAATCTATACAGCCAGCTAATATAGAGAAGAGACTTCAGAGGACGTATGATGAAACACCACGTACGAGTGAAAGTCAGTGTGTGTATTCAAAAACTAACATGAACAAATGGAAAGAGAAACTCATAACGGAATCTATATTTATTAAAGTCACACCGGATACATGTAATAAGGGTGACTCAGTACAACTATCAACAACTTGGAATATAATTGTGAATGCAAAAACATGAATGAGCAAACAAAAATAATAATGAACTATATATATATGAGTACAAATCATAAATGTTTGAATGAAACAATTTCTAACAGTGGTATGAGTACAGGCAGTATTTTGCTCGAAATATCACCAATAACAAAACTTATCATTGTTTGTAAACTATTGAAATATAATTATACTTTATTTGATCTAATCCACAATTCTCAAAGTTTTTACTGATATTAGTTCACAAATGTCACTGAACAGTTTCGTCGGTGGAACCATGGTTAGGACTCTCACCGACCATGCACATATTCCGGGGTTCGAACCTACGTCGGCGCACACCTAATATATGGTCGGCCTGCTACCGATATTCACGCTGAAAAGTCCATACTTTTATGAAAAATACGGTTTGGATACAAGAGGTTATCAAAATTAATAATAGTTTATTTAAAGTATTTAATTTTTATTGACGGATAGCTAACAAGGCCATACTGCACACTATAAAGTCTGTCACCGTTTGATACAAAAATATCACACATGAAAGTGAAAAGAATTCATCGTACGCTAGAACGTGTGACATCGTTGTCGTACAAGTGAAGAAATGTAAGATATCAAATTGTTTAGTATTCACGCTGACACAGAACAAGATGATTTCAATGAATGATGAAAAACCTTGAAGCGGAAGAGATGAAAGTCAAAAGTCGCCTCATATTTTGCATTTGTAAACAACATTTCATTGAAAAGAGTGTTCAAGATGACCTTTGCAAGAGTAGATGGTAAACAAAATAAAGAGAGGTTAAACAGTAAATGCGGTGAAAGAATGTCAATAAGTTACTTATAATAAATTTAGATATCTGA